CTCACCTGTGTGAGTCTCCCTGCAATCTCCTCCACAGTCTCCCCATCCTCCACCCCCGCTATCCGCCCCACCTCTGCCTCCACCACTGCCTCACCGTGTCTCACCTGCTCCCACCGCACCTCACCTGCTCCACTTGGGTGAGTCTCCCTGCAATCTCCTCAACTGTCTCCCCATCCTCCACCCCCGCTATCCGCCCCACCTCCGCCTCCACCACCACCGCCCCTCCCCCACTGCCCATTGCTCTCGCCGGCCCCGGTGCATCTACGGCTGCTGGAGTGGTGAGGGCAGCGAGGGCAGCCACAACTCGTTGAGTGAAGGCGATATTGTCAGCCACGGGCAGGTGAGAGCCGTCTGCCATGATGGACCGGCACCACCCCTGCACTCACCAGAAGTATGGATTGGGTGATGGGAGGGGATAGTGTATGGGTCATGGTAATGGTGGGTGGGAATGCAGTAGAGGAAGGTGTGAACCACCTGCCATGATGGACCGGCACCACCCCTGCACTCACCGATCATGTGCGGTGAGGGAGGGGGCTTTTGAGTCGACTCAAAAGTCACCTCATGTGCGGTGAGGGAGGGGGTATCGGGCGCAGATCACCACGCGTGTTGGCCTGACGCACACACCTCCACGCGTGTTGGCCTGACGCACACACCTCCACGCGTGTTGGCCTGACGCACACACCTCCACACAGCACCATGGGCACACGCACCTGTTCCACACATCGCTGAATAAGGCCCACGTCCGTGCCATGGTCGAGGTGCAGGGCGATGGGCACGCGTGCAGCCATGGCCGCTGATTTGCATGCTGCCATGAGGGGTTCCCCCCCGTGATGGATGGCCGAGGGATGCAGCTGGGGAGGGGGAAGGGGAGAGGGAGACAGAGAGGGGAGGTTCAGAGATGAAGGGAGCGAGAAGGGAGAGAGGTCACAATGATTTCTCACTACCTCGGCTGCCCTGCTCGCTGCCTGAGTGGCTCCTCTCCTAGGCTCCCCGCATCACCGCACTCACCCCCTCCCACCGCAATGTCGCATATTGTGTACCTGGATGATGGCCGGACTCCTCTCTTCTTCTGCTCCCTTCACCACGGCCCGTACCCCTTCCAGGTTATACACGTTGAACGCGCCCACCGCGTACCCGCCCTCTGCTGCTGCGCGCACTAGGTCTAGCGTTGTCAGCAGGGGCGGGGTGATGGGCTGGCGCCAGCGCTGTACCACGTTGGCAAGAGAGGAGGATGACCCCACGTTGCCTGGTGAATGGGGGAGTGGATGAGAGAATCTATTAGCCGACTCAACAATCGCCTACGTGCACTAGGTCTGGTGTTGTCAGTAGGGGCGGGGTCATGGGCTGGGAGCGCCAGCGCTGCTCCATGTCAGCGAGAGAGGAGGATGACCCCGCGTTGCCTGGTGGTTGGTGGAGTGGATGAGAGAGAAGTGGATCATAGCAAGAATGATGACAGAAAGCACAGGCTGAAAAAGAAAAAAACCCAGACGTTACCTGGAAAGACGATGTAGGGCAGGTCTGGGAACCTGGAGGCATCATCGAGGCGCCACAGCGGCACGCCTGCCATGGCCTGCCCCTCCACGCTCGCCCTCCTCACGCCCAGTGCCTTGGTTGCCACATCGGATGATGTGATGCCACCCTGATGGCAATGGGAGGGAGAGATGGAGAGATTGGGATGGAGGGAAAGGGAGTGTCACAGGGGCATGTCCGCTGTGGCCTGCCCCTCCACGCTCGCCCTCCTCACGCCCAGTGCCTTGGTTGCCACGTCTGACGATGTGATACCTCCCTGATGCGCGTGGGAGGGAAGTGGGAAGGGAGTGGGGGGGCGGAGGAGAAGGCAGGTCCGCTGATGTGATGCCGCTGTGATGGTTGTGAGAGGGCAATGGGTGCTGGTTAAGAGGGTCTGAGAGGGTTTGGCACATGCACCCCTGGCATGCAATGCTATGCCATGCAATGCCATGCCATCCCGTGACATGACATGCCATGCTGTGACGTGTTATGCCATGCTGGAGACGTCCTCTCCACATTGTTCCACACCCCACCTCGCCCCATTCCACCGTACCCCATCCCATCCCACTGTACTCCATCCCACCGTACCCCATCCCACCCTACTCCATGGCACCTTAGCGAGAATGTACTTGGGGCGCACACCGATTGCCTTGACAACATCGACCACCGCCTCGCTCACTCTCGACCCGATCTCCAGACTGCTGGCCGCGTCTGGCAGGCATGGGGACGATGGGGGGCGGATGGAAGGTGCAAGGAATGCAAGAGGGGCATCATGCAGAAAGGGGAAGAGAATGCAAGCGTGGCATTATGATATGATTGATATGATGGCTCCGCCAGTGCCGCACTCACAATTGAACAAATCTCGAGACTGCGGGGGACATTCATGGGGACATTCATGGGGACATTCATGGGGACATTCATGCGGACATTCATGCGGACATTCATGGGGACATTCATGGGGATATTCATGGGACATTCATGGGGACATTCATGGGGACATTCATGGGGACATTCATGGGGACATTCATGGGGACATTCATGGGGACATTCATGGGGACATTCATGGGGACATTCATGGGGACATTCATGGGGACATTCATGGGGACATTCATGGGGACATTCATGGGGACAGTCACTGGGACAATGATCACGCACCACCCCCCTGAGGTAACTCCCACCTGAACCAGTGATGAGCTCTCGTGACGTCATGATGACAACGTCTCTGCCTTCCTGTAGAGCCTTCTCCGCATCCCCTGCCATCCCTGCCACCGTCGCTTGCCTCCTCTCCCCCTGCCAGCTGTCAGACGCCACGTCAGCAGCGCTGACCTGTCCGATGACGTGGAGCAACGTGAGGGAAGGAGTGGAGGAAGGACACTCAGGTACCATTAATGTGTGAGTGCGGTGAGGGTGCTTGCAATGTGGATGGGGTCATGATGGGTGTGTGTGCGAAGTCTGTCAATCATTGTGGAACGGACTCACTCTGACTAGAATGGCATGCAGCACTCTCCTCCCTGTCGTGCATCTGCCATGCACTTGCTATGCATTTGCCATCCATCTGCCATGCACTTGCTATGCATTTGCCATCCATCTGCCATGCACTTGCTATGCATTTGCCATCCATCTGCCGTGCGTCACACAACCATGAGTGCATGCAGGCGGACTTGCCTGAATCACGTGCAGCGATGGGCCAAGGCGAGAGAGCAGCTCCTCCAGCTGGTGTAGTGAGAGAGGCAGGGGGGGGAAGAGAAGGGAGGCCACGGACAGGGAAAGAGGAGGGGACAGTTGCATAGGAAAGGAGGGAATGAATGCCTTCAGTATTAGAAAAACGGGACGGGATCACGCAAGACACGGTGAAATGCCACTGTGTTGCTGCATACATCAGCACTCAGTTGCACTGCTCCATCACGACTTAGAAAATATCTTGTTCACCCCCCAATCTTATCCCCATCTCTCTACCGTACACTCTCTTTCCGTATTTCCTCCCCTCCTCCACCTTCTGCCCCTCCTCGCCTCCTTTACCTCCTTTTTATCCCTCACTCCTTAACCCCACCCTCTCCCATTCACCTGAGCACTCGTCTTTGGCACATACGACCCCACCACAATCAAACCCCTGGTACTGCTCCGCAACCAGCCCCACCGCTTCAACTTCCGCCCCCACTCCCCCTCCCCTCCCTTCTCCCCTTCCCCCCCACACTCCCCTCCTCCTCCTCCCCCCAGCAGCAGCTGCGCCCACTCAGGGGGACCAAGCGGGGGCAGCTTGGGGAGGGAGAGGAGGGAGGAGACGAAGGAAGCGGCACAGCGCACGAGGAAGGAGCGCCCTGCTGCCTCTGCGTGGCGGAGAGCTGCTGTAGCCACGTGCAAGTCACTGTCACTCGCTGCATTCAAGATGCACACACTGCCCTGCAGGAGCAAGGGAGAAAGGGCGGGGGGAGGGCGGAATTCAAGGTGAGCAATAAAGGGAGGAGACGAAGGAGGCAGCAGAGCGCACAAGGAAGGAGCGCCCAGCAGCCTCTGAGTATCTTAGGGCTGCTGTTGCCACGTGTAGGTCACTGTCACTCGCTGCATTCAAGATGCACACACTACCCTGTGGGGGTAAGGGAGCGAATTGAACATTTTACAGTCGCGGGTATCATTTCGTGAAGAAACTATTGCAGGGGCGAGATAGTAGAGAGCAGTAAGGATAGACGCCACATTTCGAAGCAGCAAAGAGCGGAAGAGATCAGCAGCGGGTATCATGAGGGCCCGTGGGAGAGCATGGGACCCTTACAGATCATCATTCACAAGGCATCATGGGGGGAGCATGTGAGGACATGGGAGGAAGCAGCAGGGAGCAGCACGGAGTACCTTAGGTAGCGCCATGAGGGCTTTAAGGACGGCGGAAGGGCCGCCCCCTCTAATGGTCTCGATGGAGATGGATGCCACATCAGCTGCTGACCTGGCGCCACCTGTCTTCTCCTCGACCCACTGAGCGGAGCACATCATAGAGAGGCATGCAGGAGAGGAGATTGATGATGCATGTAAATGCACGGACGCATTTGTCCGCATGGAATCCAGAAACCGACATGCACATGTGTACATCCCTCCCAGCCACACAGCACAGCACAGTATTGCACAGCACAGTATCACACAGCACCGCACAGCACAGCCTCGCACCTGTTTGAGGTTGGAGCGGGAGTAGCCAAAGGCAGCATCCTTGGCAAACTCTGTCTGTGCTGCCGGCACCAGCCTGGGGTGGTGGGGTGTGGAGCGGAGGAGGGATGTGGAGCAGCCGCCTAACAGCCTAACAGCCTAACAGCCTAACAGCGTAACAGCCTAACAGCGTAACAGCCTAACAGCGTAACAGCGTAACAGCGTAACAGCGTAACAGCATAACAGCCTAACAGCCTAACAGCCTAACAGCCTAACAGCCTAACAGCCTAACAGCGTAACAGGGTAACAGCGTAACAGCGTAACAGCCTAACAGCCTAACAGCCTAACAGCCTAACAGCGTAACAGCCTAACAGCCTATCAGCCTAACAACGAAACAGCCAAACAGCGTAACAGCGTAACAGCGTAATAGCGTAACAGCCTAACAGCCTAATAGCCTAACAGCCTAACAGCGTAACAGCATAACAGCGTGACAGCGTAACAGCGTAACAGCCTAACAGCCTAACAGCCTAACAGCGTAACAGCGTAACAGCGTAACAGCCTAACAACGTAACAGCCTAACAGCCTAATCGCGTAACAGCGTTACGGCCTAACAGCCTAACAGCCTAACAGCGTAACAGCCTAACAGCGTGACAGCGTAACAGCCTAACAGCGTGACAGCGTAACAGCCTAACAGCCTAACAGCGTAACAGCCTAACAGCGTAACAGCGTAACAGCCTAACAGCGTAACAGCCTAACGGCCTAACCGCGTAACAGCCAAACGCCTAATAGCGAAACGGTGTAACAGCGTAACAGCCTAACAGCCTAACAACCTAACAGCCTAACAGTGTAACAGCGTAACAGCCTAACAGCCTAACAGCGTAACAGCGTAACAGCGTAACAGCCTAACAGCGTAACAGCCTAACAGCGTAACAGCGTAACAGCGTAATAGCGTAACAGCCTAACAGCCTAACAGCGTAACATCCTAACAACCTAACAGCCTAACAGCGTAACAGCCTAACAGCCTAACAGCCTAACAGCGTAACAGCGTAATAGCGTAACAGCGGAACAGCCTAACAGCCTAACAGCCTAACAGCATAACAGCCTAACAGCCTAACAGCCTAACAGCGTAACAGCGTAACAGCGTAACAGCGTAACAGCCTAACAGCCTACAGCGTAACAGCCTAACAGCCTAACAGCGTAACAGCCTAACAGCCTAGCAGCGTAACAGCCTAAAAGCCTAAAAGCCTAACAGCGTAACAGCGAAACAGCGAAAAGGCCTAAGAGCGTAACAGCGTAACAGCGTAACAGCCTAACAGCCTACAGCGAAACAGCCTAACAGCCTAACAGCCTAACAGCGTAACAGCCTAACAGCCTAACAGCCTAACAGCGTTACAACGTAACAACGTAACAGCGTAACAGCGTAACAGCGTAACAGCGTAACAGCGTAACAGTGTAACAGCGTGACAGCCTAACAGCGTAACAGCCTAACAGCCTAACAGCCTAACAGCGTAACAGCCTAACAGCCTAACAGCGTAACAGCCTAACAGCGTAACAGCCTAACAGCCTAACAGCCTAACCGCCTAACAGCCTAATCGCGTAACAGCCTAACGGCCTAACAGCGTAACAGCGTAACAGCCTAACAGCCTAACAGCCTAACATCGTAACAGCATAGCAGCGTAACAGCGTAACAACGTAACAGCGTAACAGCGTAACAGCCTAACAGCCTAACAGCGTAACAGCCTAACAGCGTAACAGCCTAACAGCCTAATAGCCTAACAGCCTAACAGCGTAACAGCATAACAGCGTGACAGCGTAACAGCCTAACAGCGTAACAGCCTAACAGCATAACAGCGTAACAGCGTAACAGCCTAACAGCTTAACAGCCTAACATCGTAACAGCCTAGCAGCGTAACAGCGTAACAACGTAACAGCCTAACAGCCTAACATCCTAACCGCGTAACAGCCTAACGGCCTAACAGCGTAACAGCGTAACAGCCTAACAGCGTTACAGCGTAACAGCCTAACAGCCTAACAGCGTAACAGCGTAACAGCCTAACATCCTAACAGCCTAACAGCCTAACAGCGTAACAGCCTAACAGCCTAACAGCGTAACAGCCTAACAGCCTAACAGCCTACCAGCGTAACAGCGTAACAGCCTAACAGCCTAACAGCCTAACAGCCTCACAGCCTCACAGCGTAACAGCGTAACAGCATAACAACCTAACAGCCTAACAGCGTAACAGCGTAATAGCGTAACAGCGTAACAACCTGACAGCCTGACAGCCAGACAGCCTAATAGCCTAACAGCCTAACAGCCTAAGAGCGTAACAGGGTAACAGCCTAACAGCATAACAGCGTAACAGCGTAACAGCCTAACAACGTAACAGCCTAACAGCCTAATCGCGTAACAGCGTTACGGCCTAACAGCCTAACAGCCTAACAGCGTAACAGCCTAACAGCGTGACAGCGTAACAGCCTAACAGCCTAACAGCGTAACAGCCTAACAGCGTAACAGCGTAACAGCCTAACAGCGGAACAGCCTAACGGCCTAACCGTGTAACAGCCAAACGGCCTAATAGCGAAACGGTGTAACAGCGTAACAGCCTAACAGCCTAACAACCTAACAGCCTAACAGTGTAACAGCGTAACAGCCTAACAGCCTAACAGTTTAACAGCGTAACAGCGTAACAGCCTAACAGCGTAACAGCCTAACAGCGTAACAGCCTAACAGCATAACAGCCTAACAGCCTAACAGCGTAACAGCCTAACAGCGTAACAGCGTAACAGCGTAACAGCATAACAGCCTAACAGCCTAACAACGTAACAGCCTAACAGCGTAACAGCCTAACAGCATAACAGCCTAACAGCCTAACAGCGTAACAGCGTAACAGCGTAACATCGTATAGCCTAACAGCCTTACAGCCTAACAGCGTAACAGCCTAACAGCGTAACAGCCTAACAGCCTATCAGCCTAACAACGTAACAGCCAAACAGCGTAACAGCGTAACAGCGTAATAGCGTAACAGCCTAACAGCCTAACAGCGTAACAGCATAACAGCGTGACAGCGTAATAGCCTAACAGCCTAACAGCCTAACAGCGTAACAGCGTAACAGCCTAACAACGTAACAGCCTAACAGCCTAACCGCGTAACAGCGTAACGGCCTAACAGCCTAATAGCCTAACAGTGTAACAGCCTAACAGCGTGACAGTGTAACAGCCTAACAGCCTAACAGCGTAACAGCCTAACAGCGTAACAGCGTAACAGCGTAACAGCCTAACAGCCTAACAGCCTAACAGCGTAACAGCCTAACAGCCTAACAGCCTAACAGCTTAACAGCGTAACAACGTAACAACGTAACAGCGTAACAGCGTAACAGAGTAACAGCGTAACAGCGTAACAGTGTAACAGCGTGACAGCGTAACAGCGTGACAGCGTAACAGCGTAACAGCCTAACAGCCTAACAGCGTAACAGCCTAACAGCCTAACAGCGTAACAGCCTAACAGCGTAACAGCCTAACAGCGTAACAGCCTAACAGCCTAACAGCGTAACAGCCTAACAGCCTAACCGCGTAACAGCCAAACGGCCTAACAGCGTAACAGCGAAACAGCCTAACAACCTAACAGCGTAACAGCGTAACAGCCTAACAGCGTAACAGCGTAACAGCCTAATAGCGTAACAGCCTAACAGCGTAACAGCCTAACAGCCTAACAGCGTAACAGCCTAACAGCGTAACAGCGTAACAGCCTAACAGCCTAACAGCCTAACATCGTAACAGCCTAGCAGCGTAACAGCGTAACAACGTAACAGCCTAACAGCCTAACATCCTAACCGCGTAACAGCCTAACGGCCTAACAGCGTAACAGCGTAACAGCCTAACAGCCTAACAGCCTAACAGCGTAACAGCGTAACAGCCTAACAGCCTAACAGCCTAACAGCCTAACAGCGTAACAGCCTACTAGCCTAACAGCGTAACAGCCTAACAGCCTAACAGCCTACCAGGGTAACAGCGTAACAGCCTAACAGCCTAACAGCCTCACAGCCTCACAGCGTAACAGCGTAACAGCCTAACAGCCTAACAGCGTAACAGCGTAATAGCGTAACAGCGTAACAACCTGACAGCCTGACAGCCTGACAGCCTAATAGCCTAACAGCCTAAAAGCGTAACAGGGTAACAGCCTAACAGCCTAACAGCGTAACAGCGTAACAGCGTAACAGCGTAACGGCGTACAGCCTAACAGCCTAACAACGTAACAGCCTAACAGCGTAACAGCCTAACAGCCTAACAGCGTAACAACGTAACAGCGTAACAGCGTATACCCTAACAGCCTAACAGCCTAACAGCCTAACAGCCTAACAGCGTAACAGCCTAACAGCCTATCAGCCTAACAACGTAACAGCCAAACAGCAAAACAGCATAACAGCGTAATAGCGTAACAGCCTAACAGCCTAATAGCCTAACAGCCTAACAGCGTAACAGCATAACAGCGTGACAGCGTAACAGCCTAACAGCCTAACAGCCTAACAGCGTAACAGCGTAACAGCGTAACAGCCTAACAACGTAACAGCCTAACAGCCTAACCGCGTAACAGCGTAACGGCCTAACAGCCTAACAGCCTAACAGCGTAACAGCCTAACAGCGTGACAGTGTAACAGCCTAACAGCCTAACAGCGTAACAGCCTAACAGCGTAACAGCGTAACAGCCTAACAGCGTAACAGCCTAACGGCCTGACCGCGTAACAGCCTAACGGCCTAATAGCGAAACGGCGTAACAGCGTAACAGCCTAACAGCCTAACAACCTAACAGCCTAACAGCCTAACAGCCTAACAGCGTAACAGCATAACAGCCTAACAGCCTAACAGCCTAACAGCGTAACAGCGTAACAGCGTAACAGCCTAACAGCCTAACAGCGTAACAGCATAACAGCGTAACAGCGTAACAGCGTAACAGCCTAACAGCCTAACAGCCTAACAGCGTAACAGCCTAACAGCCTAACAGCCTAACATCGTAACAACGTAACAACGTAACAGCGTAACAGCGTAACAGCGTAACAGCGTAACAGCGTAACAGTGTAACAGCGTGACAGCGTAACAGCGTAACAGCCTAACAGCCTAACAGCGTAACAGCCTAACAGCCTAACAGCGTAACAGCCTAACAGCGTAACAGCCTAACAGCCTAACAGCCTAACAGCCTAACCGCGTAACAGCCTAACGGCCTAACAGAGTAACAGCGTAACAGCCTAACAGCCTAACAACCTAACAGCGTAACAGCGTAACAGCCTAACAGCCTAACAGCCTAACAGCGTAACAGCCTAACAGCGTAACAGCCTAACAGCGTAACAGCCTAACAGCGTAACAGCCTAACAGCCTAACAGGGTAACAGCCTAACAGCGTAACAGCGTAACAGCGTAACAGCCTAACAGCCTAACAGCCTAACAGCCTAATATCGTAACAGCCTAGCAGCGTAACAGCGTAACAACGTAACAGCCTAACAGCCTAACATCCTAACCGCGTAACAGCCTAACGGCCTAACAGCGTACGGCGTAACAGCCTAACAGCCTAACAGCCTAACAGCGTAACAGCGTAACAGCCTAACAGCCTAACAGCCTAACAGCGTAACAGCCTAATAGCCTAACAGCGTAACAGCCTAACAGCCTAACAGCCTACCAGCGTAACAGCGTAACAGCCTAACAACCTAACAGCCTCACAGCCTCACAGTGTAACAGCGTAACAGCGTAACAACCTAACAGCCTAACAGCGTAACAGCGTAATAGCGTAACAGCGTAACAACCTGACAGCCTGACAGCCTGACAGCCTAATAGCCTAACAGCCTAACAGCCTAAGAGCATAACAGGGTAACAGCCTAATAGCCTAACAGCGTAACAGCGTAACAGCGTAACAGCGTAACGGCGTACAGCCTAACAGCCTAACAACGTAACAGCCTAACAGCGTAACAGCCTAACAGCCTAACAGCGTAACAACGTAACAGCGTAACAGCGTATAGCCTAACAGCCTAACAGCCTAACAGCCTAACAGCCTAACAGCGTAACAGCCTAACAGCCTATCAGCCTAACAACGTAACAGCCAAACAGCGTAACAGCGTAACAGCGTAATAGCGTAACAGCCTAACAGCCTAATAGCCTAACAGCCTAACAGCGTAACAGTATAACAGCCTAACAGCGTAACCGTGTAACAGCCTAACGGCCTAACAGCGTAACAGCGTAACAGCCTAACAGCCTAACAACCTAACAGACTAACAGCGTAATAGCCTAACAGCGTAACAGCGTAACAGCCTAATAGCGTAACAGCGTAACAGCCTAACAGCCTAACAACGTAACAGCCTAACAGCGTAACAGCCTAACAGCCTAACAGCCTAACAACCTAACAGCGTAACAGCCTAACAGCGCAACAGCCTAACAGTCTAACAGCCTAACATTGTAACAACCTAACAGCGTAACAGCCTAACTGCGTAACAGCCTAACAGCCTAACAGCCTATGAGCCTATGAGCCTAATAGCCTAACAGCCTAACAGCCCTTGTCCCCGCCAGCACCCCTCGCTCGCACACCTGCCTCTCTCACCTGTCGCTCCCATCGGCCACATAGTGCACGTCATTGATGGTGTAGCGCCCCCCACGCTCGCCCCTGCGGCCTGCCCACCAGCACCCCTCGCTCTCACCTGTCAGCCCCATCGGCCACATAGTGCACGTCATTGATGGTGTAGCGGCCCCCCTCCAGGAAGAAAGGACACACCACCCACGCATCCACTGCTGTGCCTAGCGCTGCCTCCGCTGCCTCTACCTCCTGGATAGGGCGAGAGGGTGCACAGGAAGGGAATGGGCGGCGACGCAATGAGGAAACGACAAGACAAACATTAGGCATAAGGGACACACCACCCATGCGTCCACTGCTGCGCCCAGTGCTGCCTCCGCTGCTTCAACCTCCTGGGTAGGGAGAGAGTGGGGCATCGATGAGAGAGAGGGGGGCTTTGGAGAAGGAGAGACTGTGAATGCCCCTCCTACTCCCCACCTGTCGGCCGATGGGCCAAATTGAAACAGAAGGAGCGAGGGCCATGTAGGCATGAGCGAGGATAATCGCAGGGGAAGGTGGAAGAAGATGCAACGGCAGCAAGCAGAGAATATGGGGTACCTGCGGGAAGTGGCATCGCAGGGTGGAGAAAGCGATTTTAACGAAACAACGCAATACCTGGGGGAAGTGACCTCGCAGGGTGGAGTCCCCTCGGAGAATGAGTGTGATGCCCCTGCAACCCGGATCCTTGCCACCACTGCTGCTGCTGCACACACACGAGGCACACCATGTGCACAGAGTGACAGAGAGGACGGCTTGCTTCCTGCCAGACTTCTGTGCTTCTGTGGGTATACTGGCCCAGCCAAGCCAAGCCACTGCCTCTGCTCTCACCACCACAGCCATTCACAGAACCAATCACCACCGCCACTGTGCTCCCCACAACCCATTCTCGCCCATCTCCACCCCTGCTTACCTGAGGATCCCTGCTTGCTGGGCTGCTGTCACGACATTGCTGCAGATGGTGCGCGTGAGAGCTGCTGCCTGCCATGGTGAGAGACGGGGGTAGAGTGGGGAAGGGGAAGAGGCCGAGGGGAAAATGGTCGAGAGAGGCGAAGAGGCAGTTTGAAAGGGCAGGGAAGCAGCGGCATCATGAAGGGGGTGGTGGTATTGCGGATGAGGCACAAGGCCATGCCACCCCATGTCTTGCCACACCATGCCACGTCATGCGTGGGCTGCACGCGGGAATTGGTGAGAATGAAGAAGGCGGCATTGGGGGTGTGCGCCAGTGCTGCCATCATACCACGCCATGCCCCCCCCACCCGCTGTGACCGCCGAAGCTGCACCATGCTACACCATGCCATACCATACCCCACCCACCTGCTGCGTGGGCAGTGCGCGGGAGTTGGTGAGAATGAAGAAGGCGGCATTGGGGGTGTGCGCCAGTGCTGCCATTTCCGCCTTGAGTGTTTCCACGTCCCTGGGGAGAGAGAGGAGGGACAGGTGACGATAGACAAGAGTAGAGAGACCAGAGAATGGAGAAGGAAAGTGTGAGGGAGGAGGCGCACGCGGTGTTTGATGTGACTCACATGGCAGACAGGGTAGGGGAATGCGGAGGAAAACGGGAGAGTGGAAACTTGGAATGTGAAAGGGGAGCGGGGCAGATACCAGCAGCAGCATACCATGTGTGAAAATCGCATGCCACACTACGCAGTTACCATCCATCCACCATACCACGTGGCAACCACACGCCCTACCACGTGGTTACCAAACACATACCACGGCTACCACACACACATACCACGTGGTGAGCACATGCAGCCCATGCACCGTTTGAGTGCCAGTGGGGTCATCATCCAACACCACCACCACTGGCAGAACCGCCTCTCCCTGTCCTCCCTCCTTGCCCTCTGCGCCCCCCCTTGTCACTTCCAAGCTGCCCGTCCACTCGGGCGGCAGCGCTGCCAGCATGGCGGCTTTTGATTGGACGGTGGGCTCCGGGAACGGAGCAGAGGAGGAGGTGGAAGGGGGAGATGAGGTGGAGGGGAGGGCGGAGGCGACTGTTACTCCTGCCAGGCGCTCATAGACCTAGAGGGAGGATGACATGAGAAGAGGCGGGTGGGGATGGGTGGGGATGGGAGGGGGAGAGTTGGGGTGTGGGGAGTAAGGGGAAAGGATAGAGGGAGACGATGACAGCAAATAGGGGGATACAAGGTTAGGAGAGGAAGAGAGACAACCACAGTGAGGATGCATGCAGCACAGGCTAGAATGCAGTAGGAAATTTAGCCCGGGACCCTTGAAATCAGCCCTCCTGAATCCTTAACCGTGAACCCCCTGGTGTCACCTTGACCACGGCAGCATCGTCCTCCCTGCCCAGCCCTGCTGCTGCACCCGCCAGGAACTGCTGGTGTGCTGCTGCTGCCAGGGGCAGAGGGAACGCGAGCGACTGTGCCTCACCCAACACAATGCCCTGATGGGTGGGGCGGGGGAAGGAGGGAGAGCGGCAAGGGGACAATGAGAATTGAGTAAACACTGAGGAGGAGAAGGGGCAGAGTGAGACAGACCAGCACAAACTGGGGGGATTGAGGCATACTATAACATCATGTCCGACTGAAGCTGTCAACACTGCATCAGCACAGGGCTCCTGACAAAGACAGAGAGTCACGCAGAGAGTCGCGCATGCGCACGACAGCCATAGCGACACTGCCGTAGTACCGTGTCTGAGTACTACAGACGCTGCACAGCCTTAGTAGAGCGTACCAGGTCCTTGACAAAGATGTTGAGGGCGGAGCGAGGCGTGTAGTCGTTGTCCAGCATGTGCGGCACTCGGTTCTCAAACATCCTGCGATGTGTGACGGGCATGGGCGTGGGGATGGGGATGGTGATCGGTGATCGGCATCAGGAATAAGCACCATGTTATGCCGCAAATCACACCGCAAAGCATTCTCTTGAGCAACGTCTGAGGCGCTCAAAAATCAAAGCGCTTCCCAACGCAGCACCAAGCACACCTCAATCCAGCAGCAAGGTGGTTCTAAGCATCACCATGAATTGCCTGCAGCATGCGAGATGATGTCAAACACCATGCGCGCAATCAGCCCTGCCCTATTGAGTTGACTCACACGTCATCTCGTCACAACCCACCGGGAGTTGCCAGCAAGGCACTTCTCAAGCACGCCCCAATCCACCATGAGTTGCCAGCGGCGTGTGAGATGATGTCAAACACCATACGCGCGTTCAGCCCTGCCCTGTTGAGTCAACTCACAAGTCACCTCATTACAAGTTACAACCCACCATGAGTTGCCAGCAGCATGGGAGATGATATCAAACACCATGCGCGCGTTCAGCCCTGCTCTCGCCCCCAGTGCCATCGCTACACGCATCCCCACTAGCAAGACACCCTCTCAAGCACGCCTCAACCCACCATGAGTTGCCAGCGGCGTGTGAGATGATATCAAACACCATGCGCGCGTTCAGCCCTGCCCTCGCCCCCAGTGCCATCGCCTCCGCTGCTGCCGCTATGTGCACCCCTGCCAGCAGCTGATTCACCATCTTCACCGCGCTGGGGGGGGAAATGGTCGCAGAGTGAGAGCGGGGAGAGGGAGAGAGGTGCTACATGTGAGCCTGCGAGCAACAAACAAGCTGCTGCTATGTGCATGGCTGCCAATAACCGATTCACCATTATCGCAGCGCTGGAGGGAGAAGAGGGGGAGCAGTAGAGGACGGCAAGGGAGAAGGAGAGGCCAACGTGGGAGAAGAGGGAGAAGAGCGAGAGAAAGAGAGAAGGCACACAGGTGAGTCCAAGCACAATTGACCTGCTGCAGCTGCAACTGCTGTCTGCACCCCGCCACCAGCTCACTCTCCTGCCCCCTTAACCTCCCTGGCCCCCTGACCCCTACCTCCCTGCCCCCCTGCCCCCACCCACGCACCTGCCTGCGCCCGGTGTGTCTCCCACGATGTACAGCTTTGCACTCATGGCTGCACCGGGGAAGGGGGAGAGCGGGGAGAGGGAGGAGAGGGGATAATGGGGTGATGTTAGAGCAGGATGTTAGAGCAGGATGTTAGAGCAGGATCTGGGGAAAGGAGGGAATGAGGCAGAGCAACGCGAGATGAAGAGGCAGCTGAGAGCGAGGCGGCGCCCACAGCCCCAAAAGCGTACCTTCCAGCACTGGGCGTGCCTTGGCGAGAGCAGCAGGTGTCGCTGCGGCCATAATCTGCAGCAGGCAACGCGGGGATAAGAGGGTCAGGAGCAGAAACAGTGATGAGGGGATAGAGCGGGCAAGAGAGGCGGGCATGTTCCATGATAGCACTCGCCTCAGGTACGAGCTAATAATGCACAGCAGACAGTGCCACTCGGAAACGAACCTCACAGTGAGGGCCCTATCTGTCACCAGCCCTCCAGGCACCGGTGCATTCTCTAGGTGCCTCAAAAGGCGAAAAAATAAGCATCTCGAAACGAAGCTCACAGTGAGGGTGCCGTCCACAGCACGTGCCACCCCTCCTGACACCGGCGCATCCACCATCTCCCACCCCTTGCCCTGTGCTGCTCGCACGGACAATCGGCAAGGGACAGAATGGAGGGGGGTTGCGAATTCTTAGAAGAAACAAAAGAGATGCTCTTGGGATTTGGAAAACAAACTAACAGCCGGCGACAGAAAGGGTTCGGGGAAGAGCAGAGCAGAGGAGAGCAAAATCGACAAGAGAGCTGAAGGCAAGATGAGCGGTAGCGGGTACAGAGCGGCGCTGAAACAGAGAGCAGATGGTACCAGGCCCTGATGATCAAAAAGTCCATCCGAGAATTCACTTAAAAGAGGAAAAGGGGGGAGTGCTTTAGAAATTAGTGCATCATACCTGAGAGCTTGGTGCCAAGGCTGCGTGCAAATTCAGGCGGAACAGTGGAGCAGAGAATGACGACGGCACCGGGAGGGAGAGCTGCAGGTGGTATGAGAAGAGGGCATGGGAGCGGGTGAAGGTAAGGAGATGTGGCACAAAAATGAGGCGAGAGAGAGAGAAAGAAAAGAACGAGCTTTACACATACGCACCTGCTAAACTGCTGAGTGCAGCCACTTTCTCTGACCCTCTGCCCTTTTTTCCCTTTTTGTCCCTAACACTTTCCCATTCTCTGCCGCCCTCCACCATTCTCAGCCACTCTCTACCACTCTCATTCATCCCGAACACTCACCCTGCAGTGCTCCCTCATCGCCGAACAGAGCCCCCTCGGCCTGCTTGGCCGTGGTCACCATCAGCACCAGCACCACGGCTCCTGAGAGACACACAGAGAGGGGCATGAGGGGAGGCATGGAGGAGAAGGATGCGGGAGGAGAGGGATGAGTGGGGAAGGCCCAAATGAAAAATGAAACGGACTGTAAGCAATGAGGTGAAGAGAATTTAGAAAGAGGAGGCCGAGAAAGCAGCGCGTGACGGGATGACATGCTACGTGTGAAGAGCAGCAAAGAGGCGGTGTGTTACCCTTAGCAGCATCGGCTGCGGAGGCGGCAGCAGCACCACCCGCAGATTTGAGCTTCTCGCATGCCGGGGGGTACACCTGTGGTGAGAGCGTGGGCCAAACAAGAACAAGGAAAGCAGAGGAGCGAGGGGGGACGGGGAGTTGAGTAAGGCAAAGAGCGGGGCGGTTCCAAAGCTCAGTCAGGGGGAAAGGAGGGGGTGCAGAGGCTCTACACGACATGCCGATGAAGCAACCGGGTGAAGAAAAGTGCGGTGAGCGTGGATCGAACACGCGACCTTCAGATCTTCAGTCTGACGCTCTCCCAACTGAGCTATCCCCGCAAACCTGGAGATGCGGGGTATCGATCCCCGTACCTCTCGCATGCTAAGCGAGCGCTCTACCATCTGAGCTACATCCCCGTGAAAATAGGGCACTACAAGGCGTCCCAGGAAGGATAGTCGTGGGACGAGCAGAGCACAGAGAGGAGACGCGGGGAAGAGGAGACGCGAGGAAGCGGAGACGCGGGGAGGAGGAGGATGGGGAAGGAGGAGACGCGGGAATGATGGAGATGGGTGAGACGAGGAGGTGGCGGAAGAGGAGGGAACGCGGGACAGATTGGAACGTGAAGGCGGAGGCGAAGGATGGAACTGAAAGTGGATACGAGCTTTAAATTTACACCAAGAACCCACCATACGTGTATCAAGACGCTGACTCCCACCCACGTGACGCCAAGAAGGCACTCAATCGGTTCACTCACGTCAAATCCTACAGGCCAATCGCATCGTATCCCTTCAAGCGACTCACATCAAATCCCTTGAGGCCCATCGCATCATAGCCTTTCAAGCCACTCACATCGAATCCCTTCACAGCAAAGCCTCGCTTCACCAGAGCGGCCGCCATGCCACCACCCATCGCACCCAAGCCAACGAATCCGACGGCCATCTCGCTCCCATCGGAACCGCCGTTAGCAGCAGTCGCGGTGCCACGAGTGTCGCTGGGGAGCGACATCACCGAAATGGACTGATTCGAAAGGGATTACGCTATCCTGGACAAAGAAAGTAGGATATAACGAAGTGGTAGTCTGGGATAACGAACTGAGGGCTAGACTGTGAGGAGCTATTCATCAACCGACGACGAGGGGTACAGACGATTTATGACGGAAACAGAAGTTAGAATATACGGCGGGGGATGGTCAACGAGCAAACGACGTCGAACAGAAGTTGGGAGTGCTGGAATTCGGGAATTTGTGGTAGCGGTAGATGTCAGAGGTTATGCATGGGGCGAATTTGAGACTCGTTGGATGCCAGCAGAAATGTCAGACGAACGGAGGCAGAAGCAGTTGGCGGGAATCAGATGTCAGGATCAATCCTGCGATCGATCCTGTGATCGACCCTCCGCAGGATCGATCTTGCGCGTGGTTTAAAATGTTTTGAATGCAAAAGGCGGAATTTTAGTGCGGTGGAGGTTCGATTTGCATGGTCGATTGCAGGTTCGGCGTTGAGGGGACGCGTCCCTCCTGCGATCGACCCTTTTTCAGGATCAACTTCTCGCGTGGTTAGAGAGGGTTTAAAAAGTTTTGAATGCAAAAGACGGGCAATCTCGACACATTCACATGATACTAGAATTTTACTATCCGTTTTGTAATGGCCGATTGACGTCAGATAATGAACCTCGCCAGAAAAGTCACTGCAACCGGCGAGTCATAAGTAGCCACCTCAGATTTCATTTCGTGGTTCAGGTGACAATTGGAAGCAAAGGGTCAGCGTCGTGAGGGACGCATTCTCAAGGCCACAAGCACCAACCGTTCCGGACCAAAAGAATGCGCCACGGCGATTTCCGAGCCTACTAGACCCACACACACCACGGCATCATGACTGATCCGACCTTGGTATTGCCCAGAAAACAGGCTCGGTTTGGATTGATTGGGTGGAGGTTCTGGCCTAACCTGCCAGACCCTGGTCAGGCATTCCAGGCCGTTCATGCCATTTCATTCTGCAAGCTGTTGGAAAAACGACTCAATCGTCTGATCAATTTGGAGTTTGGTTTAGAGTAGTGTCGCTTGCTTCAGTGGAATTTAGGAGAGCCTTTGTTTCGCTGCTGCTTGCTGTGCTCGTCTTATGGCGCACTCCCTGCGGCTCTGCTGTGCACAGCGGCTTCTCTCCTCCTCCCGTGCGATTTTGCAGCCTGCGTCGCCGTCATCGCAGCAGTTGTCGCAACAGGGTCAGGCGATCAGCGGCGTGCGACTAGCTTTGCCGCACGCACAGCAACCCGTCGCACGGTGGTCGTCGCGAAGCGCTGTGTCTGTGCGAGCATCGAGCGGGTCGTCCGTCATGGAGGCAGAGAGCGGAAGCTCAGCCAATGGTGAGATTACCGGCTTTGTCTCCCTGTGAGGTCAACAGGAACAGCTGCATCAATGACCGTACTGCACGTACGGCTGTATCAGGGATTAACAACGGCAACATTGACAAACATAATCATTTCGTAGCACCTAGGTCAAACCTGACAGATCAAGTGAAAACAGGAGACCTATTGGAATTCACCGATGCTACTCCTAGCATTTCACACACGAGTAAGTCTATCGTGAACATTACATACCTCAATTTCAGCAATTTCTTAAACGGATTTGTCCGACCTGGTACTACCTTGTCGACGGTTATCGCGATTGTCATGTACATTCCATCCCTCATTTCCGTTTCTCTCCAGCAGCAGCGGGTAAGGCGCCGCTATTGACGGACGCGCGGGCGCTGATCGACAGCGTGGAGACGTTCCTCTTCGACTGCGACGGTACGGATGCGATCACGGGTCGGCTTTCGCGATAGAAGATGCACGGGTGGATGCACGGACGATCGCAATTTGTTTGTCTCGTTGCTGATCGACAGCGTGGAGACCTTTCTCTTCGACTGGGACGGGACGGATGCGGATGCGATCATGAGTCGCTTTCACAACTCAATTTGCACGGGTGGATGCACGGACGAACACAGTCTGCTTGTCTCTTTGCTGATTGAACCTGTTCCTTTCGCAACTCAATGTACATGTGTCATGTCAGTCACCGTTGTGCTCACCGTGTCTGTCACATTGCATGGGCATGCCTCTGACATTGTCCCGCCAGGTGTCATATGGAAGGGCGATAAGCTCATCGACGGTGTGCCGGAGACTCTAGACATGCTGCGAGCAATGGTAACTTGGCGAATTACCCTGCGAGTTTCCCGTTTTCGTTAAGACAATCGCACTAGCCCGCATAGGTGAACCACTTATCACGAAGACTTAGGCGAAGCAATATTGTGAAGTTTGTTCAATCCAGTAACCTTCTTCGTGTGTCGCAGGGCAAGCGGCTGGTGTTCGTGACGAACAACTCGACCAAGTCGCGCAAGCAGTACGGCAAGAAGTTCGAGTCGCTGGGACTCACCGTCACCGAGGTGGGCTCTTTACCATAACCGAGGGAATGGGCTCTCTGGGAAGCATGCACGCTCGATTGCAAGGGAATGTGTTGCAGGCGAGAGTAGCGGGTGGGTGGAGGCACTCGAGCGTATAGCTGGGGAGAGGGGCCAGTGATGAAACCGAGGAAGCGCCCTACCCTTTGCTGCTGCCAAACCCGTGCCCGTCCCCTCCCCTCTTCTCACCTCCCCTACCCTCACCTCCCCCCCACCACCTCGTCCCTTATCTCAGGAGGAGATTTTCGCGTCGTCGTTCGCGGCGGCGGCGTATTTAACGTCCGTCAACTTCCCGGCGGACAAGAAGGTGTACGTGGTGGGCGAGCAGGGCATCCAGCTCGAACTCGACCTCGCTGGCGTCAACCACATTGGAGGGCCGGTGAGTCTCACACGCACCCGCATTAAGTACATTGGAGGGCAATGAGTGTTACACGCACCAGCATTTACCTTGTTAGCTGCACAGAAGGTCCAGAACTGGTCAGTATGTTGGCCTTTTGCTCTTTCGTTTCTCCTCGTTTCTCTGTTTCCTGACTGTGCTTGCCTGTTTGCATCTGTGGCGCGGTATGCTGCTGGCTGGTGAATTGCAGGAGGATGGGAAGAAGTCCATTGACTTGGGCCTGGGAAAATATATGGAGCACGATGCGGACGTGAGTATCTGATGGCATGATGATGATGCGATGTGAATATGTGAATGGTGCATGATAGTGGTAATGTGAATATGTGGATGGTGCATGATAGAGTGATGTGAGTATGTGCATGTTGCATGATGGTGGTAATGTGAATATGTGGATGGTGTCCCAAGCACAACGTATACCGCCACCCCATGCATCCCACGTGCACCGCTAACACATGCACCCCCTCTAACCTGTACCAACCCATGCATCCCCCTCTCGCCCCTACCACCCCATGCATCCCCCTCTCACCCCTACCACCCCATGCATCCCGCTCTAACCCCAACCACCCCATGCCTTCCCCTGTAACCCCTCCAGGTCGGAGCGGTGGTGGTGGGCTTTGACCGCTACGTCAACTACTACAAGCTGCAGTGAGTATCCCGCACTCCCAACTGGAGGGGTGGCTGGGGGATACATGGGGTGGCGGGATTAGTGAGGCTACATGGGGTGGTGGGCTTGACTGCTACGTCAACCGCAACAAGCTGCAGGGAGGAGTCTCCGCCGTGGCATCCGCTCATCCACCTCTTCCCTCCCTCCCCTTGCCTCCACTCGCCTTTTCCCCCTTCCCGGCAACTCCTTCGCCTTCCCACTTCGTGGTATGCACCATCTGCTACTTGTGATTTTCCACCACCCTGCCCCTCCTCACCCCCCTCCCCCCCGCCTCCTTCCCTTCCTCCTTGCTCCCGTGTCCTTGGAACCCCCAACACATCCTCACTCCAAGCTGCAACGTCACAACCAAACCGCCTCCCCCACGCAGCCACAATGCACGCACCCTCGCCTTGCTTTCCAGTGAGATATCCCTGACCTCGCCGGTTCTCCCTTTCTCTTTTGTTGCGCCCATCCCTCACCCTCCCAGGTACGCCACGCTGTGTCTGCGGGAGAACCCCGGGTGTCTGTTCATTGCCACCAACTGCGACGCCGTGACGCACCTGACGGACGCACAGGAGTGGGCAGGGGGCGGCACGATGGTGGGCGCCATCAAGGGGTCGACCAAGAAGGAGCCTGTCGTGGTGGGCAAGCCCTCTACTTTCATGATGGACTACCTTGCTGCCAAGTGAGATGCGAAGGGGTGCAGTCACAGCGAGACAGCAGGGGGAGGGGGGAGGTGGGGGGGGAGGAGAGAAAGGGCAATGTGGAAAAATGGGGGCTTTGTGTACTCAATGGTGGGCAAGCCGTCCCCTTCATGATGGACTATCTTGCTGCCAAGTGAGATGCGAGGGTGTGAGAGGCAGAGAGTGTGGGGCGGGGGAATGGGAGGATGGGGGGCGTTGATGTATGTGATAAGCCCTCCATCTTCATGGTGACCTACCTCACTACCTCACATCACACGCACCCTCTGGTAAACCCTGTCACCCCCCAGGTTCGGCATTGCCAAGAACCAGTTCTGCATGGTGGGTGGGACGCCTACCTCCACGCCAATTGAGTTGTCTGTTTTTTTCGTCACACCTGCCACTCACATTCTTCATCTGTCTCACCCCTGTCACCCTCCAGGTTCGGCATAGCCAAGAACCAGATCTGCATGGTGGGCGACCGCCTGGACACGGACATTCTCTTTGGGCAGAACGGCGACTGCCGCACGCTGTTGGTGCTCTCAGGTGAGACTGTTGCACGCTGCTGGTGCTCTCAGGTGAGACTGTTGCACGCTGCTCGTGCTCTCAGGTGAGACTGTTGCACGCTGCTGGTGCTCTCAGGTGAGACTGTTGCACGCTGCTGGTGCTCTCAGGTGAGACTGTTGCACGCTGCTGGTGCTCTCAGGTGAGACTGTTGCACGCTGCTCGTGCTCTCAGGTGAGACTGTTGCACGCTGCTCGTGCTCTCAGGTGAGACTGTTGCACGCTGCTCGTGCTCTCAGGTGAGACTGTTGCACGCTGCTGGTGCTCTCAGGTGAGACTGTTGCACGCTGCTGG